TACGCATTTTTATAGAGATTTTTAATAATCTATCGTTGATGTATTCGATATCTTCGATGTTTTGCGTGTATTTATCGTGCAGCAAAATTCCAACTCCTGAATGCGCTCTTTCTTGTTTAGCTTTCCCGCTGTATATGAGTATAAATTCTCCGTATTTTGATGTTCCTTGGCCTTTTTTCTTTGTTTCGGAGATTCCGTAGATGTCAATATTGTGTTTCTTCATTTCTATTATGATCTCCTGGTCTCTTCCGTTCCACGACGTAATGTTCCAGCACGCGATTCGTGTGATGGGGTCTTTAGGTTTTCGTTTACCAATTCGTTTTTCCATTGTCATAGCGTGTGTCGTCATCTGATATTTCCGTCCGGTATCCGAGGCTGAATCTTCAGTTCTGTGAGCCAATATGGGTTTCTTTACCCCAGGTAGGTGGCTAGCCTTGCCATGGGGACCCTCCTCCTTTATCCGGGCTTGGGACCGGCAGTGTCATCCGATGAGCTACTCAATCCACCCATCAGACAACCCAGGCGGAATCACGCTAAAGCATGATGTTCTTTTACAGTCCATACTAAAAGACCATGAACAAGAACTCCAAATTCCTAGTTCAGTTCTAGATTCTGATGCCATTGTGGATTTCAGTTTTCCTGTCCAAACTTGAATATTGACAGCCGTTTATTTTCAAATATTAATAAGACTGCCGAAGAAGAGACTGATTTATTAACCTGTGATAAAAAGCTTGTACCTTACTCAGATAGTGATGATCCTGATGATAGTAATAATAACGCCGCAATAGTATTTAGTTTATTAGTTGATAATAAGATAGGTTGTAATGATTTTATATAACGTAATGATTCTTTAAACTTCGAATCAGATTCATCATCCTTGAGAGTATTTCTAAAATTGACAGCATTAGTTCTAGCTCATCATCTGGTTCAATTTCTAGTAAAACATCAGGTAGTTCATGTCAAGACACTCAACCTGAAGTTAGAGGACAAAAGAGAAAAAAACGGAAAGTAATTTATTACGTCATTGAAAGTTACGTAACTGGGAGAAAAGTTGCTGTAATTATAAAAAGAAATGCGTTGCTGAAAAAGTTTTACTTCCTAATCCATGTTTAGGCAAAAAATGTGTCAATTAATGTAATAGGTTTAGCACTGAGGACAGAAATAGTATTTCTAAAATATTTTGGAACCTAGGTAATAATTTAGATAAAAAAAATATCATTAATGGTTGCGTTAATGTCATACCTATAAAGAGAAAAAGAACAGTTTCTGATTCACGTCGTAATCTAACTTATCAATACTTTCTTTTGAAAAATGATGTAGAAAAACGAGTTTGCTTACAATTCTTTAAAAATACTCTAAATATTAGTCAACAATTGGTACGTAAATTGAAAAATTGAAGTTAACCGTAAGAATAGGGAGAAACATGAACCTAAACAAAAAATTACTCCTAAACAAATGTTAATATTTAAAGATTTTTTTTGAGGGTCTTCCTGCTGTCCCCTCGCACTACTGTCGAGGATAGACTAAAAAATTGTATCTACCAGCAGATACTAAAAGCATTTCAAATCTTTATAAAATGTACACCATAAAAATAAATGAAAATAATGGCATCCCTTTTAAAATATCTACTTTTAAAAAGTACTTTAAAAAAGATTATAACATTGGTATTCATGTACCTAGAAAGGATAAAGGTTCCACATAAAAATGGTTCGTTTTAATAGTTTTTGTTGTTTTTTGAATACTCTTTCAGTTTATTTTCTTGTTATACTTAATATAACCTGATAATTATATTAACTTAATTTTTGTATAACATTTTTTTACACCAATATAACTCTAAAAAACTCATAAATATATTGTGTATTGTTTATTTTGTATTATTTTTACTTAATTTTTATGCTTTAAAATGAAAAGATTTATTCTCCATTTGTGTTATAATTCCGTAAAATTTAAAGGCGTACAAGTTCCTAAGCGACATTTTTTGATCAAAATATTTTTTTCCAAATATGGTAACCGCCTTTCAAAGAGGCTTAAACACCACAGAACCTAACATTAAAGGCGTAAGCACCAAAATGTTAAATATCTCATGTTTATAATAATTGTTTTATAACTAACACATGGTAACTCAAAATGCCTCAGTTCAATAATCATAAAATGCCAAAAAAATGTAAAAAAAAATAAATATTAAGCGACATTAAACGTTTTTTGTGTCTCCTGAAAAAAAAAACTGTAAATGGCGCTTATGCCTATCTGTCGTGACACCGTCGATATCTGCTTTTCTACTTTCATGATCTGTTTTTTAAATTCTTCGTTAAGTCATATTTCCAATATTTTTTCTTTATATTTTTTTTCTAGTGACAGTTTTTTCATGTCTAACTTCTAGTACAGTCTACAATCGCAACCTGTAGAAAAACGATTTAGCACAGTCACGTCTTTAATGATATTTGTCAGTTCTTGTGGTGCAGTTAAATTAATGTGGTACAAAAAGAAAAATAGAAAGTGTACGAGATCTTTCCCAAAAAGTAATCTAAAACTCCAAGTATAAATTATGAGTGGAACAACTTTAGAACATGTGTTAAAAAATAGCTTATGAGACCCTAGATAAGAAAAAAATAAGAAACAGAAAAGGATTAGTACAAACAAATCAAAAAAAGAAAACTGCAAAAGAATTGAAAGATATATATAGAGAAGCTGGGAATGAAGCAGAACTGATTTCTAGACAAACGCATCAGCAATTATGAAAAAAGCTATTAATCAAATTCAAAATGATTTGCATAGAAAACAAACTTTAACTTATAAAATAATAAAACATATGAATAGAAAAAAAATTCCGCCTCTATAGAAAGACGTTGCCACACAAAAATGATGGCAACACTATGACATGCACCTATGACACTATGCAACACTATCTAGTACAATATATATATATATATATATATATATATATATATATATATATATATATATATATACATCGGTTTAGAACGTCTTTCGACGTTGTCCGATACCTAAACACCATCTCTTTCTATCTTCTCAGTCGTTTGTTGTTAAATTTCTTTCGCTCATGGACCTTTTTACGCCGTGTTGCCATTCTAATCTGGGTCTTCCTCTTTTCCGTCGACCTATCGGTTGCCATTCTAATACTTTTTTTGGGGAGTCTTGTTGCTGACATCAGTTGAACATGCCCATACGACCTTAATTGTTTCTTCTCTATATCTTGAGTTATATTTCCTTCTATTCCCATACGTTGTTTTATTACATCATTTCTGATTCGGTCTCGTCTGGAAATACCTAAGGATCTTCTCATTACATCCATCTCTACTGTTTCTATTCGCTTTTTGTTCTTTTCACTAATTCTCTATGTTTCAGCGCCATAAAGAAGAGTAGTTTTATTCATGGTCTTATATATATTAAATTTTCTTCCTTTCGTTATCTCTTTACTCCACAGTATATCATTGAGACATTCCAAAACTTTCTTAGCTTGTGTGATTCGTTTTTCTATTTCCCGTGTACAAGTTCCTGTATTGTCAAAGGCAACACCCAAGTAGTCATAGCTCTGACAGTAGAAAATATGTTGTCCGTTTTCGAGGTCTATGATGTCTGACTCGTTTCCAATACAAAGATATTTGGTTTTTGTTGTATTGACATTCATTCCCCAGTCGTTATATTCTTCTATAAGTTTTCTAAGCATGTACTGTATGTCTTCTCTGTCAGTCGCTAGTACTACCTGGTCATCAGTAAACTGGAGTGTATATATACATTCATTGCTAAGTTCTATACCCATCCTATGCACCTTTCTTTTCCATCTTTCCAATGCTGCAACATATATCTTCATATATATATATATATATATATATATATATATATATATATATATTATATATATATATATATATATATATATATATATATATATATATATATATATATATATATATATATATCAACATATATCAGCATCCCTGTCGCAAGCCTTTTGTAACCAGGAATTCTTCCGTTAGATATTTTCCTGTTTTTATCTGTGACTTTGAGTCTCTATCTAGTTCGGGTACAGTATTTATCAATGTGTGGTTGATGTTAGATGTTTTCAACGTTGTCCACAATTTTGTTAAGGGGATATTGTCATATGCTTTTTGAAGGTCTACAAAAGTAATATGAGTTTCTAGATTCTTAGCCGATCTTTTTTCTATTATTTGTTTAAGACAAAATACGTTATCGCTGCACGGAACCCGCTTTGTTCTTCCTCTTCATTGTGCTTATATTCTTCCTCGATCATATTTTTCAAAATTCGTCCACACAGTCTGCTCAGGGTGCTGGTTAACGATATACCTCTATAATTATTACAATTCCTTTTGTCCCCCTTTTTGTGTATTGAGGACATGTATGCCGTTCTCGATTGTTCTGGTACTGGGTATCCATTTAGACACTGATTGATCACATAAGTTAAGTTTTCAAATAGTTTATGAGTTCCATTCTTAAGCATTTCAGCATAGATTCCCTCAGGTCCAGCGGATTTACCATTCTTTAGGGTCATTACAGCCCTCCTTACTGTTTCGATGTCTACCCTCGCTTCCTCTCCTTGTATATGTACTGACTGTGTTGGGGAGTTCGCTAGGTATTCTTGTCTTGTCTCTGTCAGCTATACTATCTAGTACAATTCTAGCCGATATAAAGATAATTTAGAAGAGCAAACTATATATGGAATTTGTCATGCTAGAATTTATGAAGTGATCATAATGTCAAAGACTAGATAAGCAACATGAGTAACAACAACATGAAATTTTTATTACATGCAGGCTTTTTTCTACTTTTTGCTTTTTAAAATCAAAAATACCCTAAACCTAAAAAATTATACAATTTATATAATTGTTTAAAAAGCACAATCGTAAAAGTTGTGAAAACTATAGTGGTATTAGTCTGTGGTCCAATCTTTTTTCCTGTTTCTTTTAATACCTAGATATATTTTTTTATATAATAACTGTTTCACTTTCAGATCATTAAAGATGAAGCACAAATATAGGCTTGCTTTTTTAATAACTTGGACGCCAATGATGCTGAGCCTAAGGATACCTCCAGTTCCCTGCCCTAATTACTTTGGCTACTATAAAGATGAACAAGGAAAAGTATACGGATCAGCGGAACTGCCATACGATAAATCCCCGTGGTTAGTATTTAGTGTAAACGCATCTTTCTTGGGAAAATTTGACCAACCGGTAAGTATTTATGTTTTTTTTCTTCTACGTTAATTAAGGCATACTTTTCAACATTTTATTTCATTTCATTTCGTTTCGTTTTGTTTCGTTTCGTTTCGTTTCATTTCGTTTCGTTGCGTTTTGTTTCGTTTCGTTTCATTTCGTTTTGTTTCGTTTCGTTTCGTTTAGATTCGTTTCGTTTCGTTTAGTTTCGTTTCGTTTAGTTTCGTTTCGTTTCGTTTCGATTTGTTTCGTTTCGTTTCGTTACGTTTCTTTTCGTTTCGTTTCGTTTCGTTTTGTTTCGTTTCGTTTGGTTTCGTTTCCTTTCGTTTCGTTTCGTTTCGTTTCGTTTCGTTTCGTTTCGTTTCGTTTCGTTTCGTTTCGTTTCGTTTCGTTTCGTTTCGTTTCGTTTCGTTTCGTTTCGTTTCGTTTCGTTTCGTTTCGTTTCGTTTCGTTTCGTTTCGTTTCGTTTCGTTTCGTTTCGTTTCGTTTCGTTTCGTTTCGTTTCGTTTCGTTTCGTTTCGTTTCGTTTCGTTTCGTTTCGTTTCGTTTCGTTTCGTTTCGTTTCGTTTCGTTTCGTTTCGTTTCGTTTCGTTTCGTTTCGTTTCGTTTCGTTTCGTTTCGTTTCGTTTCGTTTCGTTTCGTTTCGTTTCGTTTCGTTTCGTTTCGTTTTGTTTCGTTTCGTTTTGTTTCGTTTCGTTTCGTATCGTTTCAATTCATTTAATTCAATTTCATTTCATTTCATTTTATCGAAAACAAGATTTTATTTTTTCATTTCATTTCTTCCGAGAGCCAACAAACAGAAAAGGAAGAAAATGCATATTGGCACTTCTGAGTTTAAACTTTTGAAGCTGCATATATTTTTATTATATTCATATAAAGGTTATAGCGGAATAAGATGGTCAAAATTTCACCATGCTCGATTTAGTTTTGGACCTGGCCATTCAAAACAACAAAATTAAAAACTCACTTAGTTAAATTTTCAAGTCCTTACGTGCCGTTGGGGGTTCGCTATGGGAAAAAACGTATTTAAAAAAAAAATTAGACGCTGTATTGCTGCAAAAAATCTGAAAAAATTCATGAAAGCGTAGTTTATTATACAATATTACCTGATTTTTTTCAGATTTTTAGCTTGAAAATTGAGCGAAGGAAAAATGTTTGAAATTTTCAGTAATATTTTAGGTTATGTCGGAAATTTTTGGCCAACTTTAAAATAATGTTTTTTATGGGTTATTTCCCGTTCTTTCGAATGGCATAAGTATTATTATCATTTTCAATGTGGAAAATGCCTAAAACTCTAAAAAACTGCTTTTTTGGCATTTTCTTCGAGCACCCCCACCCCTTAACAATAAATTGTATGAGCCTTGATTCACAACAAAAAAATTTATTTATACTGCCATAAGATACAATAATATCAGTTTTTATAAAATAAAAAAAATATTAATAAAATAACCAGTAATTTGGTTTTTTAGTGAGATGGATGACTCATAACCTTAACAACATACATCTAAATTAATGATAATTCATATTTTTATATGTATTCTTACCTTTACAATTAAAAGAAGCTATTAAAACTATTATTTTTTCCTACAGCATGCTAAAAAAAAACGAAAAACCCCGTTTTTTCGGCGTTGTTTTTAAGCTTTCGCTATATAACCTCTAAAGTCAGTGTTTAAATGAATGGTAATTTACATTTTCACATGTATCTTTTCCTTTACAATCAAAATCAGTTTAAAGCATTAGTTTTATCTCACATTTTTCTGAAAAACCGAAAAACCTTGTTTTCTCCATGTTTTTAGTACATAACCTCAAAAGACTCTGAAAAATTAATCGTGAATTAGAACGCACTTGTACACTCAAAAGTTGTGGAATTATAAGCTAGCGAATATATCTACATATATACGTAATATTATATCACAATGTACATGCATTTATACACAAACGCGTATCTATATAGTTCTATGACTTTTGAGATCCTTGTTCTCTTCTGCTTAGATACAAGAGCCTCATACCCATGCTTATATTATTATTATTTTATTTTCTATTTTATTGTTGCCTGTTATTTTAGACACGACACAATTCTGCTGTCAAATTCAAAATCAATTCAAAATAAACACAAAAAAAGAGCTATTGAACATTTGATGAAAAGCCCCGCCGAAAGGATAAATGCCCTCACACGCAAACTGACTAAGAGCGATACAGAGGATATGGCCCTACACACGCAAACGCACTAAGAGCAATATATAATGCGAGCCTGATTATATCATATACATGGCGTTGGTAGTTGCGCCGCCTAATATCAACTACCGTGCGGCGCAACTATCAACGCCATGTTTTCTGTTACAATCAAGCTCCCTGGATATGCGGGATGTTGGGCTAAGACATGAAGGCCAAAACAGTTAAGTACATATAAAATATAAAATAAAATAAAAATAATATAAGCATGGGTATAAGGCTCTTGTATCTAAGCGGAAGAGTAAGGCATGGACGAGCATGGTACGAGCTTATGAATGTATCTAACAAGGATCTCAAAAGTCATGGAACTATATAGATATGAGTTTGTGTATAAATGCATGTACATTGTGATATAATATCACGTATATATGTAGATATATTCGCTAGCTTATAATTCCACAGCTTTTGAGTGTACAAGTACGTTCTAATTCACGATTCATTTTTCAGAGTCTTTTGAGGTTGTGTAGTAAAAAACATTGAAAAAATGGGGGTTTTTCGGTTTTTCAGAATGTTGTGAGATAAAACTAATGCTTTGAATAGCTAATTTTGATTGTAAAGGGTAAGATACATGTGAAAATGTAAATTACCATTCACTTAGACACTGAATTTAAAGATTGTATAGCGAAAGCTATAAAAAAAAAGCTAAAAAAAAAGCGAAAAAACGGGTTTTTCGTTTTTTTTAGCATGCTGCAGGAAACAAATAATAGTTTTAATAGCTTATTTCGATTGTAAAGGTAAGAATACATATAAAAATATGAATTATCATTAATTTAGGTGTATGTTGTTAAGGTCATGAGTCATCCATCTTACTAAAAAACCTAATTTATGTTTATTTTATTAATAATTCTTTTATTTTATAAAAACTGACATTATTGTATCTTAGGCAGTATAAATAAATTTTTTGTTTTCTATGTAATACTTACTTGGTTTTGTTTTGTTCCTAGGCCCATACAATTTATTGTGCTTCAATAAGGGGTGGGGGTGCTTTAGAAAAATGACAAAAAAAGCAATTTTTTCGATTTTTAGACATTTTCCACGTTGAAAATGATAATAATACTTATGCCATTCGAAAGAACGGGAAAAAAACCCATAAAAAAACATTGTTTTAAAGTTGGCCAAAAATTTCCAACATAACCTAAAATATTACTGAAAATTTCAAATATTTTTCCTTACCTCAATTTTTAAGCTAAAAATCTGAAAAAAATTAGGTAGTATTGTATTATTAAACTACGCTTTCATGAATTTTTTCAGATTTTTTGTAGCAATACAGCGTCTAAAAACTTTTTTTTTTAATACGTTTTTTCCCATAGGCGAACCCCCAGAGGCACCTAGGGACTTGAAAATTTAACTGTGAGTTTTTAATTATGTCCTTTCGAATGGCCAGGCTCAAAACTGAATCGAGCATGGTGCAATTTTGACCATCTTATCCTGCTATAGCCCTTATTCTTTTATTTAACTTAACTTTTTATTGCAGGAACTAAGACTGGAAAAAGTAACTAAACTACATGAGCTAAACGATGGTACGCCGACCGTTAAATATAACATATTTTTCCCATTTACCGACGTTATTCCTAAAATCACTGATCTCACATATAACGGTAAAATCTACTGTAGGGGTTCACCAGGTAAATTTTTTAAAAACTACATTAAATTTTGTTCGATTGTATTCTTCTCTCATTCATATAAATACCTTTATCTATGAGGACGGCAACGGTGTATAAGCAGATAAAAGTAAATTCATTTTTCTCCTACTAAAATCCCAAAAATATAGCGATTAGTAGCGAAAAATAATTTGCGGTTTGTTTACATTGTGTTATGTGAACTTAAATGGTACGTAATACCGTAGTGAGACATTTCTGAAAAAAAAACTCGCTTTTAGTAAATACTAGTATTTGAAGTATTTGAAGAAGAATAGATAATTAAATTTGTTTTCGTAGAAAATTCGTTTTTAAAAACTTTATTTTCAAAAATACAATCCAAATACTTGTTGCCGAACTATAAATAAACGCTCTGAATACAATTAACAATTAACTTCTTAAATTCTTAACTTAATATTAATTTATTATAAACAAGTTCAGGCTCATTTATACCTTCTGATCAGATGGACTGTGATCGGCGGGTTCCAGTGGAATTATCTGTTTATATTTATATAATTCCCTCCTGAACACAAGGGACTTGCTTTTTCTGAGTCATGTTTTGTCTTCTGTGTTTTCCTTTTGATACAATATTCTTTGAATGTACTATTGAACACCTTATAAATTGCTAAAATAAGAATTATTAGTATAATAATAATAAGACTTGAGTTGGTGCAGTTGTGATATGTTGTGACTTCTGTTAGTTCAGGCATTTCTTTCTATATTCTCTGCTATTTTCTGTATCTTCTTAATTTCGCTGCTAATGTTTTCCATTTTAGTATGGGTAGATTTGTTATATTTTCTTTATATTTAAATCTTGGTAAGTCGAATATGTATTCTTCCTTTGTCTCTTCTTTTTCATAGATTTGATTATTGATTGTTATTTGGCATTTTCCGATAGTGATGATTGATTATTTGCTTATTTTATGTATACCATTTTTATCAAAATTCTTTTCGATTATTGCTAAATTAACAGAAATGACTACTAGTTGATTGGAATTAGTAGTTGATATTGTGGTTTTCTTTAAATGTATATTCGTACTTTTACATTCATTTGTACCATTTGTACCATTTTTACATTACTTAGGCATGGTTGACAATTCTCTTGCAAAGTCTTCTTTAAAAAATAACAATAATTTTCAAGTAGAAAAGAGATTATAATAATTCATAATACTTTAAATTTTAGAATATTTTGTGTTTTATATATTTTGTTTAGATTTGTAATTATTGATTTCAGTTGAGAAGGGTTAATAATAGAATTATGAAGAATATCATATTATTATATTATTCTATTATATTATATTATTATTATATTATCATATTATTATATTATATACTATTATTTCTTAGTTAAAGTTTTATTCCTGTGGAATAAAACTTTAACTAAGAAAACAAAGAAAAATATATATCAGGCTATGATTCAGCCGGTGCTGACGTATGGGTCAGAAGTGTGGGTCTTTAACAATAATATGTCACAAAAACTCTTCTCAACGGAAATGATGTACTGGAGAAGATGTTCCGGGTTAACTTTGTTTGACCACATAAGAAATGAAAACATAAGAGAGAGAATGAAAGTAAAGAACACAATAATGGATACGATAGCCGAAAAACAATTAAAATGGTATGGACACCGAGACGGATGAACGAAGAAAGATACCACGAAAGGTTTGGAACTGGAGACCTACACAGAGAAATAAAAGGGAAGGCCAAGAAAGAAATGGATATCCAATATTCATATAGAAATGGAAAATAGAGGTCTTCAAGAAGGAGACTGGGCCGATAATTATGGCGATTGGGATGCGAGAAGCAACAAAATTAAAGTTGCAAACACTCGCTATATATATATATATATATATATATATATATATATATATAATATATATATATATATAATATATAATATATATTGTGATATTTAAAGTCTTGGTGCGCCAAGCAATAATTACTAATTAATTTTATTAATTAATTAAAATTATTTAAATGATATGATTTTGACTCTATCACAATTTTTAATTCTTTTATCTCAGGGTTAAATTCGTGCTTCAATATCTATTACATGTGAAAGGTGAGGTCCAAAGAATACCGGAATAATAAAAAACACATATGATCTAACATTATATATTGAAATAAAAATAATGTAATAATTCACACTCAAAAGTTTTCAATAAACAAAATCTCATATAATGATTCTCAAAATTTTTTTCTACGTACGTGAACAATCAAAATTAATGGTACAAACAATATTAATTGAAATCTCAAAATCCCAAACTATTCTAACTCTCCTAATCAAAATATTTATATCCTTTCTAAATTAACTGTAAAAAATTGTGTTATCAATAAAAGAAAGAACTGCAGAAAAACAAAACTATCTCTCTCTGATGATGAGTGGTCCAAATCCTTGTTATTTGTAGACTATACTATTTACTCGTGGCCGCTCCTAAGTAATCAGCAATCTTACAATAAATTATTGCAAGTATCTCGTCCTTAATGATTTCCTTCAAATGCACGAATCGTTCAAATTATGCTAGCTTCTTCTTCTCTCAATAAACTGAATCTCTCGTTGGCCTGAGTGAAAAATGACAATTGAGAACTCGTTTCTGGCGGGGAGAGCTGGATGCGTTACCAGTACTACAGGCAGGCTGCGACTCAATTGAACCAAAGTTCGTCTTTAACAAACCCTACAAAATTGAAACAAGACAGTGTACGGAGACAAACGTGGTAAATGCCTATTGCATATACACCGATGGCTCCAAAATGAAAGAAGGCTCAGGATGCGGGATATACTCCAGATCACTGAACCTAAGAATAAAGTGGGGTATGGGCAAAAATGCCAGTGTACTTCAGACAGAACTAACTGGTATTTCCATAGCCGCAAAAGAGATAACCCAAAAAGGTATAGCAGGGAAAACTATAATGATCTGCACAGATAGCAGACAAGCGCTACTAACCTTGAATAGACCACGTGTCACATCAGGTTTAGTAATGGAGTGTCACGAGTCATTAACTCAAGCTTCGGATGGTAATACCATCATCCTGAAGTGGGTTAAAGGACACAATAGGAATAAAGGCAACCGCATTGCTGACCAATTATCTAGGAAGGCGGCAGGCCTAAGACTCCTAGGACCTGGGGATCTTTTTGGTTGGTCAACTACAACAATCGCGGAAATTGTCAAATGTCACTCCCATACGAAAACCGTAAAAAGATGGGAAGAAGGGAAAGGATGTAGACTTGCCAAGTTAACACTAAGTAACCTTGAAGAGTCAACATCAAAGAAGTACTTGGGAATGACCAGGAAAAATCTACGTTTGGCAGTTGGTTTTTTAACTGGTCATTGTCAACTAAGCAAACACCTCCACACACTGGGCTAGTAGACACACCTCTATGTAGGAAGTGTGAACGAGAAGACGAAACTGTAGAGCATGTCCTATGTGAATGCCCAGAGTTATCGTTAATACGAGAGTACGCGTTCGGCGAGTCCTGGCCTACACCTGCCCACATAAGTGAGATGTCTCCTGGTGACTTGTCCACCTTCCTAGAAATGGCAGGATGGACAATGAGCTAAGGGTGACAGCTCCCTGGGAGGATGCACAATGGGTCAATTGTGGCCTAAGTGCTGTGAAACTTAACTCGCCCTCCCTACTCTACAGATACAGATCTATTACATGTGAAAGGTGAGGTCCAAAGAATACCGGAATAATAAAAAACACATATGATCTAACATTATATATTGAAATAAAAATAATGTAATAATTCACACTCAAAAGTTTTCAATAAACAAAATCTCATATAATGATTCTCAAAATTTTTTTCTACGTACGTGAACAATCAAAATTAATGGTACAAACAATATTAATTGAAATCTCAAAATCCCAAACTATTCTAACTCTCCTAATCAAAATATTTATATCCTTTCTAAATTAACTGTAAAAAATTGTGTTATCAATAAAAGAAAGAACTGCAGAAAAACAAAACTATCTCTCTCTGATGATGAGTGGTCCAAATCCTTGTTATTTGTAGACTATACTATTTACTCGTGGCCGCTCCCTAAGTAATCAGCAATCTTACAATAAATTATTGCAAGTATCTCGTCCTTAATGATTTCCTTCAAATGCACGAATCGTTCAAATTATGCTAGCTTCTTCTTCTCTCAATAAACTGAATCTCTCGTTGGCCTGAGTGAAAAATGACTCTTGGAATATCTTTTCTTTACGATAAACTGAATCTCTCGTTGGCCTGAACAGTGACTCTTGGAATATAAGTAGAAAAATATGACTTACAATATTTTACTGGATCAGCTTCTGTCAGATACACTAACTACACGAAAACTCACAAACTTTCACTGCTACTGCTTCCTACCTCTGGGAAACTACCCGAGAACAACGGCCGTTCGCCTTGCATCCTTGGAAACCAACTGACTATCTTTTCTCACTCCCGAAATCTAGCTAAACTTTCATTCCTACATACCTCCCACCTTTTTTAATCTCCGCCAATCAAAACTCGTCACAATTCCCCATTCTTTCATTCCGATAACAAACAAATTTTTAAATAAATGAATGAAATGAGGTTGAATGCTCGAATAAATGAACTTTGAAAATAAGGCTATTATCGAGCACAGGTTAATTAAATCAAGCCCAAGTACTTTCGCTTAAAATAGCATCTTCAGGGGCATTTCGTCAAAATAAGAACTATCCGGCAAGCGTAGGATGTGGAAACATTAAAACTAACATAAATTATACAAAACACTACACTAAAACGAGGACAAACAGTTTAAAATTACTTCTACGCTACATTCTCTGTCAGTTTCTGGAGGGATAATCAAATTTTTACCTATAATTATAAAATTTCCTAAAACTTATTTACAAATAATTTTTTTCTATAATTCTTAAAAACTAACAAAAACCTCTTTCTAATCTCTTCTACATATTGTCTTTAATAACTGCGTTAATGTATTTGGAAAACCCGGTTCAATTGTTCTTTGGATTTCACTTAA